GAGCTGCTGCTGTTGCAGCTGCAGCTGACTGTCTGAGTGCCTTCAAGCTGGCTGCAGCCCAGCGGCAAGCATGCGCACCGAGTGCGCCTGCGGAGCCACGGGCTTGCGGCGCGATCTGTTGCCGTGCGGCTGCTGCTGCTGCTGTTGTTGCTGCTGCTGCTGTTGTTGATGCTGCTGCCCTGTTGGTTGCGCCTGCTCCGCCAGGGCCGGGCTGCGCGCCGCTGCTCGATGCGGCTGCAGAGTCGCGGAGCAGCGCGAAGCGGGACCGGCTGCGCGTCCTGCGGAGGGGGAGGAGGCGGCGGCGTGAGGAGGAGGGGCCTTGGGCCAGCCCTGGCGTCCGTCGCGCGCGCGCGCCGCAGCCCGTCGTCCACACCACTTTGCTACGCCGCCGCTCGGAGCGGACGCGGCCGCCACGCGCGGGCGGGTCCACTCACCTGCGGGTTGCTATGAAGGCACAATGAAGTCGCGGGTTCTGGTCAGAGGCCGCCCGAGCTCATCCTTCGGACGCTCCGCCGGCCGAAAACTACACGCTTTGCAAACTTTTACGCGCACACATAATACCCGCTTCACCTCATGGCCGAAACGCATGCACGACGCTCGCGACATGCCGGCGCGCGTATCCTTCCGCGGATCGATGCATCGGCGTCGGCTCTCGGTTTTGCGCTCTGCACTTTCTTCTCAACCACTCTCCGTACGCGGCCTGAAGGAGTCTTTCGGTCAGCGATGGTGTTTCGAGTGGAACCACTTGGCGGCGGGCCAGCGCGGATTGCACGCGGATGCAATGCCTCAGTTAGGGCGGGGACGCGCGGATACGTGGCGCGGCGGCCGGCTGCGCGGCCTGCCGCCCCACGAGAAATAGCTGATGGCAGGTCGCGTCCACAATGCCTACCCAGGGCGCGGCCCCGCACCGGCCTCCCTCGCCACGGCCGCCGGCCGTCGCAACCGCGCGCATGACAAAGGCGCGAGGGGGCGGAGGACGCGGGCGGGCGCCACGGCGCGCGGGGCGCCCTGGGCTTATCGACCGGCGGCGGTGGGCGGGGCGGGCGGCGGGCGTGGTCCAGGGCGGGCCGAGCCGAGCGAGCGAGCGCGAACGGCCTCAGCGGCGCGGCCAGCAGCCGCAGCTGCAGCCCGCGCTCGTCCCCGCCGCCGGGCGGCGGTGGGTTTCAAGGCTGCCTCGCCGACCGTCCGTCCTCCCCGTCTCCGGTCCGCTCACCGCCGCACGCGGCGTCGTCCGCGTCGTCTTTGCGAGTTTCCGCTCCGGCCGTGCACGAGGTAGCGCCACGTGGGCGTTCGAGGCCCACCGGGGGCGGGGCTGAGGACCCGGTCTGCGAGGGGGGCGGGGCGGGGGTGCCATTTTCGGCCCTCCTCGGCGCCGCCGACTCCGCCCCCGGCCCGCCCTCGCGCGCCGCGGCGCCGCCCGCCCCGCAGGGGTGTGCACTGCCCACGCCGCGGCGCCTCGCTCGTTGCAGCGCGGCCGTCCTTCGTGCAAGGCCTCGCGCTGCTGTGCATGTGGGTTCCGTCTGAATGCCCATACGGTGTTTCCAGTTTTTGCGAGCAAATAAACGCATTTAGTACGGTTATGCAACAGCTTCAAGTCGAGAAAAAAATATTTTAAAAGGGGAAGGGAACTCGATTTTTGTTTTGTTTTATGCATAAATTTTATTCGTTTATTTTTATGTTTTAATTTCATTTTTTTTTTTTTTTGACTTTCTGAATTCAGTATGACACATAGCATGCAAGTTTCATTTGGTAAAAGAAACTATCTACTTGTTAAATTCTTACTTTTTCCCGTGCCTTACGTCGCTTGTATCGTCAGAAAAGTACGTGTAGTCGTACTTATCTCGTTAGTTGTTATTCTTATTGGACATTTCATATATTTTTATCTCTCTCGCTACGTACATAAATACGGACTATATAACTTCTTATGGTAAGAAGTTAATGTAATGCTGCGGAAAATCGATTTCAAGATTTCAACGAAAGAGATTGTTTTGGGAGTCCTCCTATAACGAAAAATGTGTTTGGTTGTTTTTTTGTGTATTTTTTATTTAAACGTCTGTCCTGCTGCCCGTATGTCTCTCCGTCTCTCTCTCTCGCCGGTCCGTCTGTCTGTCGACTGTCCGTTGTGAACACCAATAGCGCTCTAAACCATACCGTAGAATTTTTTCTAAAACAGATATACCGCCAGTCCACTCGTTAGGTCGGTGAGATTTTAATATAAACTTACTTCAAATTGGCGAGTATTATAACAAGCAGCCCCCCCCCGGACATTTTCTCAAAACTGTCACATTTGTTTCTTTTAATATCTCTTTTAAGAATAGAGTAAATACACTTATGAAAGTGGCATATAGTCTGATTTTTCACAGTTTAATCTCACGAAATCTTCAAAACTTCTAAAATTTTTAAAAGTTGATTTTTTGTCGTCTTCCTCTAACTTACAAATTGAAGATAGGTTTTCTTTCGAGATTAATATTTGTTGTCATAATTTGTTCTTCATTCATTGATAAATCATGTCATATTTTAAAATTTTAAGGTAATTTTTCGCACACATATTAGGCGCGCAGATATTGTGTAATTTAAACGCAAAATGATACAAAAAGAGTTTCAAAAAGGCTTTCGGCCAGATTTTTTCCTATACTTTTGGTAGAGGTTCTGGTTTTGAATAACTTGTTAAAGTGTGCTGTATACAGATAGCATAATATGTCATATTGCTCCTATTTCTTTCGCTTTTTCAATAATTACAAAAAAATTTATACTTTTTGAGACTTTCTCTCACCGTTAATATTAACATTCGCAGCGATTTTGTTTACATTAATTAGCAATTTATGACTACGTGCGCTATTACATAATTGTCATAAGTCAAGGGTTCTGAAACCTCAAAAAGTTTTCTGTAAAGAACGAACTTCAAATTCAGGCAATTTTCAGAAACGCTCCATCGCGATTGTTTTCAAAAATCGATCGACAATTTGTTTTTTCAAACATTTCGGAATATAATATTACTAATCTGTAGCTCTTGGCTAGATTGAACATAGGAGATTGATTTTGCTGTATAATTTTTTTCACAAAGTACCCGTCGAAAGATGTATTGATTTTTACATAGTGTCTCAATCCAGCAGCAGTTTCAGCTGCAGCTGCAACAGCAGCAGCAGCAGCAAGCGCAGCAGCATCAGGCGCAGCAGCAGCAGGCCGCGGAGTGTGCGGACGCGCAGCCGCAGCCGCCGCAGCAGCAGCACAAGGGCTTCCTGCCGGCCAACGTAGTGTCGGTGCAGGGCGTCCCCGGCCCGCTGCTGCAGGTGGGTCCCTCGCGCGCGCCAATCCTCGCGAATCGCCCGCCCGCCCGCCGCGCGCGCCAATCGATCGCGCCCTCGGTGACAAGCGATGAACGACGCGACGCGGCGCGACGCACCTCGCACCTCGCACGTGCGTGGCGAAGGGCAGACGGGGCGAAGGGTCCCCACGTTTCACTCGAGCGAAAACCTCAAAACTTCACCCCTCCCCCCCCTACTGTCATAATTCACGATTTACGGCAGTCGTCGCCTACGATGAATGGTGGGATTCGAACACAAGGCTTTGTTCTTATACCTTGATAACCTGATGTGTTTCACAACATGCCTTGTTGCATTCCATGTTTCGAAAACATAGGCGTCGTATGTACTTAACATCGAGTTACTGAAGCTGTTTCTTTCTTTTTTTTAACATGAATATTTTGAGCTCAATGTTTGAACGTGATCGATATTTTATTTTTGAATGAAAAGCTACAAGAAAATAAGAAAGAACATATTGTTCTATTCATTGACATTTTGAAATTATTACAGACCAACGTGACATAGAACAAAAATGTTAGGTAAGTTTCCGTCGATAAAATGTCTGTTATTTTTGTTTTATCCAGTCAAATTAGTTTTAGTAATTGCTTCTGATAATTTTGTTTTTTACTTTCGATTATACTGAACTTTCTGTTATCTTTATACTTATTCTATCTCTTTACTTTTGACTGAACTTTCGATTATAAATAATAAACAATCTCAATATCAATCTCAACGACCGCCCCCGCACGATAATTAATGTTGGAGATCATTAAAACAGTTTTAAAATCATCGATGGTTTTGGGACGATGTATTATCAACATCAATGTTTGGAAAAATCTGTATTTTGTTGACGATGTCGCATCTCTTCTTGAAAGTATTTTGCGAGCTTGTTAAACCTTATTCAGTTCATGATAAATATTCAACTTGACGTTACGTTTTGTTTGACAAATCCGATACGATAATACAGTTTGACAATAAAATGCTGTATGCGAAATTACAGTAATTACTGGTCCTGGAAAGGGAAAAGAATTCGATAAGCAATTATTTGTAAATTTTGTAACTATTAATGTCTGTGTATTCGGCAATCCTTTGTTGTATTTTCTGGGTTCGTACGCTTGCGTTCTTGCAATAGCTGCATACGTTTTGTCTTTGGCCGTTTTGATAAAATAATGGAGATGTTAGGGAATATATTTGCCTGATTCAAACGCGGCTGTCAAAAGTATTGGAACTTTGATGAACACTAACTCGCCTTTGAGATAAGCAAATCTCGACTGTCACTTCCTTTAAACTTTTTAATTTTCGCTGGAAGAATGATTTTATGATATTTATCGGGAGACGTATTCGCAAAGACATACATTTTGAGTCCAATGTTTGTAATTTTTGTTATTTTGTTTTCTTCGTGTAATGTTTACTTAACTTATTCGGTCTTTTCGTATTTAAGTACCTACGAGTATTTCGCGTGAAGAATCACACTCAACTGTAGAATCATTAATTTAGTATCTAGCCTCGATATTGGTCCTTCACCTAAACTGACCCAATGGGTACAGATCTTATGGTGTTTGAGAAATATCTCCTTATATAGGAGCGGATCCAGAGACAAATTTTGGGAGGGGAAATTCAAAATGTTTTCGTCAAATGTGTATATTACAGATTTTGTAAAACGTTTCAGGCTACACTCAGCTCATGCTGCGATAGGATTTTATTTGTTTTAATGATAATCCAAAAATGTTTGCCTGAAAGTTTCGTGACCAGTTAGAAGTCACAGTTATTGAAAAATTTTAGGGGGGGGGGTATTCCTCATTTCTCCCTCTTGGATTCGAGCCTGCCTAATATATAATTTTAGAAGATTCAATGTAGGTGAACGACCTTTGGAAAGTCATAATTCAAAGTAGGATGGGATTTTAAGACGTTCAATGATGTCTCCTATTGTTTGTTAATTATTTCATAAATGTGATTTTGTGACAATTGAAGCAATACCCACTGCAGAAAAGCCGTCCCCAACCCTTTGTAGTTCATCCGTAACGCCCCACCCCCCGCCACACACTCGCACAACACACACAAAAAAAAAAATTTTTCAAGTGCCTTATAATCCCACGACAACGTTGTCCAGTGTGCATTTTAATGATCCTCACTTCTGCGGTATTGGCAACGTCGTAAACCACAGAGTGGTCTTGTCACCATTGCGGAATAGTCAAGAAGGTATTAAGTCACGTGGCGTATGCAATATGCATTTCAAACGTCATGTTTTATTTAAGACGCTAATGATTGAACGCATTTGTTTTCAACAGGCATAATGCAATAGGCCAGTATTCTGCGAAGTGCACTTCTTGAACCTATAAAGTCATGGTGAAATGGAAAAAGGAGTTGTTCACATGAGTATCAAAAGGGGCGGGTGTGAGTTTAAAATCAATTGCAATATAAAACAAGGAATGGATTGAAATCCACTTGGTGCAAAACAAAACAGGAAAATAAAAATAATTCATTTAAAATTGAATATTCTTTTTGTGTTGCATTAAACGCTTTTAATAGAGAAAACATTAGAAGTATCTGTCAAAATAAATCTTCTTTCTTATTGTTGTGGCACTGCAATCAGAATCTAGTCTCTTTGTAATAGTGGCATCTGAATTATCTTCGTTTGTTTCCTGGTTGAGGCAAAATCAAGGCAATTTGTAGATTTTGCAATTGTACATGGGATGTTTTCTTCAATATACTTAGTTTTATCAATGTAGAATGCAGAACTCGAAATGGCAAGGTTCTATTCGATTCTGGAAATTTTACAGTAGAGCATTTTGAAAGATTGGAGATCTAAAAATAAGCAGAATGCTATATAACTTTGTTCATAGGTTTTCTGTAAGTCTCATTTGAAAACTGTTTTAATATGTCATAAATTTGTCAACAGTCTTCGAACATGGCAAAGTAGTTTTCTTCTAAAATGCCAGAAACTTTCATTTAGAGGCCGCGAAAATTATTTAATTTGATGTGGAAATGTGTAGATTTGAAAATTAGTCGTTCAGTAGGAAAGCTTTCCGATTTCGGTTTCCTTGTATACAGATTAGCGTGATTTTCCAAGTAATAAATTTTGATAGTCTTTCTTCCTGGGAAAATGTCGCTTTAAGTTTGTGACGTGCAGCTATGAGCTTTTCACATCTGCCGATGTCAGTCATCGACTTCGTGACGAGACGACGAAGATCACTTAGAACAGGTTCATGCTTCCAGATGTATTCTTCAAAGGAATACAATCCAATTCTAACCCCTCTGTTAATAATAAATGGACCATTGGTCCTGACTTAAAAGGTGTGTCTCACTGGTAAATTTGGAGAATCCAGCTTCTTTATGAGAAAAAATGTTACCTTGATGGATGTCATACTTAAAATTTATTGCTGGAGCTGTGCATTTATTCATATCATTCCCGCGATTTGTGACAGGTCCAAGTATATAAATCACTGGATGATACATAAAGATAAGTAGTAGGTGATGCGGTAAGACGAAAGTTTTTGTTATCTTTATTGCATTCACAGATTTATCTGAAAACAAGCATCATCCCACTTTTAGAACCGCTAATGCCGCTGTCTAAAAAATGTTTTTATTTACAAAACGCGTTGTGAAAGATGTTTAAAATAATTTATTTCCGAATGACTTTCAAGCAATTTGATATAATTGATAAAAGAGACAGACAGAGGTTGATCTACACAAGACAGTAAATATATTTCAATAAAAGATGTTGCAATAATATTGTGTTTTTTTTTCAACTATTGTGCGATAAAGAATGATGTGGCATCCCTAACTTTTGATTAATTAAAAAAGTCGTTCAGATTGAAGGGAAAGCTAATAAAGGAAAATTGCGAGTAAGTGTTTGAACATGTGGGCAAAGTGTTCTGACGAGAGCTTGACCTAAGACGGAAACGCGCGTTAGTTGCCACTCTGCCTGAATCACAAGAGTCGACACAGTAAGTCACGTCTGCCCACTCGTGCGCAACGTCAGCGAGGTTGGTCCAGGCGGCGTCCGTCGTTGCCTGAGGAGGACCCTGTTCCGATGTTTCTCTTCGTACAATCTGCAAAGCATTCGTGTTCATAACAGGTGCTGTAACTTGATTGCATGGGAGTTCCCGGAGCGAGCGAAGCTTAATTGCATTGTTTCTCGGGAACTACCAGCTAAAGTCGCTACTGCCCTGGATCTTCGCTGGAATTCAAGACGACGTGCGAGGATTATACTTCTTCCCTTACCTCACATTCCGGTTTTACTTTTTTTTAGTCAAAAACCTTATGAAGACGCTTTATTTTTAGTGCAAACATGTCCGATGCCCAACGTTTCCGGGAGAAATGGACGCGGTGCATCCACGTGGGTATACGAGCCCCCCCTCCCCGCCGCTCCCCGCCCCAAAAAATCATTTAAAATGGAATAGGGAACTTCCACTTGGAAAATGACGATCCCAAGCGACGAAAACATTTCTGTGCCGAATGGAATCAGTTGATAACTTTGAAAAATACACCGAAAAAAGCAACTGTAACTCTCGATTCTCTGTTCCACGAGAACTTCGCAATTTAAGAGATTACGAATTTTCTTCGCATGGATTATTTGTAGATTGTACTAATGGTTGAATTATTTTGAGGGAAAATAATTTAAAGGTTATTTTACTACTATACACAGTCGGTTTAGTGGTATGGTATTTGGTATTAGGTATATGGTGTTTGGTTTTTAGTGGTGGATACGGTGAACAGTGTAGACCTCTGCAAAGAACAACCATTCTCTCCTTCCAACGATTTTCACTTTATGTATATTCGCGGCAAGGGGTCCAAATAGTACGGAGTTCTTTCCCTGCTCTCGAACTTCTTGCATCAATATCATCACCGAAATTTGATGCTCCGTTCCCTTATTAGAAGGCCGGCGTGTTTAGCTCTGAGTTTTGAGGTGCGCATAGACTTTTGTTATTTAAGGTCGCATCAACATTAGATCATTAGCATCCACTATTGCATTTAATGGTATGGTAACTGTGAAGATGCCATATGAAGATGATCATCATAGGGGTGAAAGGACGAATAGGAATACAACCATTCCCGAGGTGGGCCACGAACCCTCGACCCTCCGGTGCGAGATCCCCGCGGCACCACTGCCTTGAGGATCTCGGGCCTCCGGACAGATGGTTCTTCCAGCCTTGCACGTGTTGCTTTGACAGAGGCGCGGTGCTGTTGTGCTCTCTTTTTCATCGCAAACGAGATATTTCCTTTCGCTCGTTATTTATCCTCTATTGCGCTTCAAGTATGTTTCTGCGACACAACTGGGCTAATGACATCTGCTAATCGGATGGATAGGATAAATGTTGAATTCCCTGTAAGATTAGTCTTCCGCACATTTTCGAGTGTTCCGCACAGTGTTTTCACTGAAGGAAATGTCGAGGACCTTCATTCAAAACTATTCCTGACATTTAATTCAAGCGATTGTTTACGACTAGAGAATGAACAGTGTATTAATACTTTATAAATAACAGCCAAAACTGACTGCGATATTTGGCATGTGTGTTGAAAAATTGGCATGACAAATGCGATTGTTTTTGGATTATATGGTGTATTACAGTAAATAATTAATCTTAATAACGCCCTTTCATATTTTATTTTTCATGTAGGATTGATTCAGTATACAACCTGTAAATAATAATAATAATAATAATAATAATAATAATAATAATAATAATAACAAATAGTACAAAGTCATCAAATTGTTTAAAAAGCGTTTATTCCCAAAGCTAATCAGAGAGCAATGAATTGTATAGTTACGTGGTATTGTTTTTGGAATTAGAATTTGTTTTCGCGCGCATTAGGCAAACGGGGAAGGGCGGCGCGGAGCGGCGGCAGCTTGTCGCGCTCTGGAGAGCGGTCGATTCGGCCGCCCCGGCGGGGCGCTCTCCCTCCGCTCTCCCGCGTCGCCCCCGCGCTGCACGTGGAAATAATGAAATACGGTTACGTGTCTTACAATTGCTGTCTTTGGCCTTTTCGTAATTTAACACTTCTTTTCTTTTTTTTTTAATTTAAGCTTGCATTAACAGCGAGGCCATTAGCGACCACTATAGATTAACGATAGGGTTAACAGTATGACGTGATATGGTGATGGTGAGGGGTGAAAGGACGAACCCATACACCCAGGCCCGAGGCAGGACTCGAACCCGCGATCCTTCCGGGTTCGAGTTCCTTACGGCAACACTGCTTTAGCGATATCGCCCATCCGGATGACTTAACGGTTCTGTTTCAATTTGATTTGATTTGACCATGTTTGCAGTTTCCTGTAATGTTTCTGCAAGTTTGCAAAATTACATTAGCACATTTTTACCATTTTCGTTGCAAAACATTCTATAATCGCCATAAAGATGTGACTTTCGGCTATCATATGAAACCGTGATTTAAAAATACTGTAGCTCATCAAGTGCCTTGTGGATATTGCAAGAGATGCACTTTCGTATTCCGTGAAGCGAATGTGCTACTCGCCTCGTGTAACCTCGTAGAGGGCGCTGGACTCGCGGTCGAGAGGCGCTTCGGCGGAGAGGAGCAAACGGAGCTCCGAGCGCGCGGGCATCAGCGCCTCTCTCCGCGGCCCGGCGGCGCAGGGTGCGACTGAGTCAGTGCGGGGCCTCTGGGCGGGAGGGCGCCCCCTGCGGTGGCAGGACGTTCGACGCTCGCGCATGCCGAAGCAGCCCTTGCTTGTCCTACCCTTATCCTCTACAGACACAAATACTTACGTACATTACACTGAGAGTCCAGTCGGGGACTTACACCTTGCCCCGACAGGGGCGATGACCCACCGGTGGGAGATACCTGTTGGGGAAAATCCCGCTAACCTACGTGTAGGTCGGCGCTGAACCTCCCCTTCCATAGGGGGTGATCACCGCCACCTCACACGTACGAGGCTAATTACCTCAGTTGATGCGTCCGGAAACGCCAATCGATCGATCTATCAACCAAGGTGAAGTGCATGTCCTCCCGCTCCTTGATGCCGTTTCGAAGTGAGCCGGTGGTTTACTATAGAACAATTCGCATAAGAATGAACCAAAGTGACAGGTCGCTAAACAAATGAACATCACATGGCATTCAGAGAAGTATCCCTCCGCCACGACAGCTTTTCAGCCACGCCTCTTCGTAAAGTGTTTGTTTGAACATGGCTCCCGTTAAGGCATCATGTCTTCTCATGGTTCACAACTGTATAATTATATTTAAAAAATAAATATATAACGCAAAGCACGGAACCACGAAACACTCTCAATCACAGCTTGCCACCTTACAGCACATGACCCGAAACTCGTGCACCAGTATGAATCTCGGTTTTAAAATAAACATAGCACTTATTACACAAAACGTGAATTCAATGTAGTATTTATAAAAAAAATATATGTTTTATAGAAGGGCACATAGCACTGCACTTCGTAATTTCTATTATTTCTCGCGGGTAACTATATTTCCGTCGGACGAGGACATGACAAAAGAAAGCATCGAACCCATTTACAAGTCAGCCATTTGCAAATGAACGAATGGAGGAAGGAGAGTTCAATAGGCTCAAGAACACAACGATCACAGTACCTTCATGTATGTTGCCAGCACTATCTGTCAAAACGGTCCATTCTTATAAAAATCGCTCTCTATGTGCAGCGCCGGCGCTAGCCATGGACAGACCGGACGATGGCCCGGGGCCCCGCAAGACAAGGGGCCCGGCGATGGGACTGATGAGGAAAAACTAGAAAAAAAATGAAAAATAAATGAGAACTCGAGAGAGTCGTTATGCAGTTACACAGCGAACCAATACAAATTAAATTTTAAAAAATCGTTATCGTAATTTTATAAGTCGCGGTACAGTAATCTGATATTTCATAAAATTTTCAATTAATTTTTTACCTTAAATACTTAATTATAGTCATTACTTATAAGGCAGGACTCTATGAAATGAATTACATAACGTTAATATTAAAATAGGTTCCATTGAAATTCATATTATTATTTCACGTGTTCAACACGTGATTTCATTTAACACTAACTAAACAGAATTTTATAGCGTTTTACCATGAAAAGTATATTATTTGATCACTAAATACGTTCACTTGAAACTAGAATTTAAAATATATTTTCAAAGCCTTTTTCCAGCTTAAACATAATTTTTCTTTTTTGTTGACATAAAATATCTCGTATAGTTTCTTTATACAAATTTCACATTTTAATTAGTTGGCGGTGGGGAGAGCTACATTTCAGCATCGTCCGATCCCGAAATTGTCTAGCTCTGGCGTTGACTGTGTACGCGCGCGCTCTTTATTTTAAAAAAAATAATAAAAAATAGTATCTGGGAGCGTCAAGGACAATGAAAGGCAATTCAATTAAATAATGCCTTATTTGTACTATCGAGGCTCAGGTAAATAGGCCTGCTCTTCACACAAACGTGAAGGGTGAAAGGAAGGCATCACTGGGGCGACGAAACAGGTGATTTGAATTCTGTTCAAAGACTTCTTTTGGGCTTGATCTTTGCAGTAAATCTACACGGGGCAGCCGACCCACCGGTGGCGTAGCTAGGCTGGGTCCCGGAAGTCAAGGGCCCAGCCTAGCCCAATTAGCACACCCAATGACCCTAAATGAAAAGACAATGGCAGTGACAGACCCCCTTTGGACTTTCTGTTTCGGGGTCCTCGACAACACGGCTAGGTCACGCATCAGGACTTTACTTCCCCTCCAAGGGTGGCGTACGAAGGTTTTTTTCGGCCTTAAAAATCCACAGCTTCGATCGGGTTTGAAACCGCAAACTTGGGTTCGAACTCGTTCCCGGTGAGCTGTTGTACTACCGAAGCCAATAACACGCAATCGTGGCGTAAATGCAAACTCCTGGCTTAGGTTATTCAATGGGACCCTTCTCATCGGCGAACGTAAACGTGAAAATAAACGTAAGGCGTAACGAAGTTCGCAGACTGCAGCTTTAACGTTTACGTAACCTTTACGTTCACGTTATCGCCATGTGAACAATACACTATTGTGTACAGCAGCAAGAACCAAAGAACCTCTTGTATTTTCGTGAGACAGAAAATCACGATGTTCGAAAGAGCATAAATTGTCGATCGTCATCATCATTATCATTATTGCTTATGAAACGCTCAGTTCGTGGCGCCCGTGATAAACGAAATAATTATCATCCATTGTACTTGGTCGTTCGTTGACATGTGGAATTTGTGCCCAGAAAATGTACTGTGTCGATATCGACGAGTCGCTTTTTTTACATTCTCGGTCATTGTGAATGATACGTCCATATTTGTGTTAAAAGTACATGTGTTGGTTTTCGCGTCTACATAAACGTTTTTATTGTGAATGGCCCTTCAGCGCGCGTGTGTGTATGTATGAACAGAGCTTGATTTCTGGCGGAACGCGACGGAACGGCTTTCTGTTCCTTCGGTATAAACTGAAGAAAAACAAACAAACATACGACAAAAATCAGAGGACAAACACTTCGATTTTTAGATCAACCAACTTTCGTAACCCAAAGTTAAATAATTTTCAACTTAACTGTATCAGTTTTAAGAAAGTAATAAAATATTAATAACGATTAATCGTTATAAACTATTTTTATTCCCTATCGTAATAAATAATAATCGTAGATCGCAAGATAGCAGCAAACAAACTGGATATTGTTATCTGGGATTTGGAGAAAAAAATATTTACTTGTAGATGTTGCTGTGCCTTGCGATCAAAACGTAGTAGCCGAGGAGGCAGAGAATCTTCTTAAAATACAAGAGTTTGGAAATCGAGACCAGGTCACCAAGCACAGGTCGGACCGATAGTCATCGGAGCACTTGCATTTTTGTTCCACAAGAACTTAGCTAAAGTCCCAGGTCTTTCAAAAAAACTGGGAAGTGCAAGAAATTGCTGCATTTGGAACAGCCCACATTTTGCGCAAAGTATTGCTGACAGTCCCTAGATCTGTGCCTTGGTAGCTGGTTGCAACCTGAAGTAGATTTTATATTCAGCTGACTCATAACATGTTTAGTCGTGATGGAGAGGAATAATAATAATAATAATAATAATAACAATAGTAATAGTAACAGTGATAGTAATAGTAATAAGCTGGTGAAACTGCTACGAAGTGTTATTAAATTTGATTTATAATTATTAGTTTATATTATAAATATGACTATTTGTATTTAATATAATTAACTTGGAACCTAAAATTGTATAAATCAAGCATTTTTATGGAGGGGGGCTGGAAAATTCGTGTCCTCAACTCGCGCTTAATGCGTCCGGAAGTTGGAGGCGGCTTCTCGGCATCTGCTCGTGGGGGGACGTCGCTGCGGCTGCTGTGGACGGTCGCGTGCGTGGCTTCCAGGCGAATGCCAGCGCAGCACTTCGCTTCAGATCCTTTGCCACGCCCCATCGTTGGGAGCAGATTAGCCGGTCTCTCCGTTCCCATGGGACCCACTCCCGTGATCCAAAAGTGCACGGGCAGGCCCGCTTTCCGCTATCGGCCGGGTACTAGAATTCCTGCTCTGGTCCCAGCGGGCACGGCCTCTCAAAATTCCAGCTGTGGTGGGTGGGCGAAGTAATTTCGGACCGGAATTGTCACTAATAGATCAAGAAGTGGGCGACGAAAGACATATTACACGATAATTGTTTCTTC